CCCCGCCCCGGCCCGGTGGCTTATGGTTTCGGTCGGATTTTCTTTGCTTAAATAGAAAAGGCATGGGGCTTGGAAAAAGACTGCGCGCTCTGCAAATGATCCCCACATGGGACCGAACCCCTCCAGAAATAGGTGCGCAGCGGCAATTGCTGCAGAGCGGGAAGGGCTGGGGTGAGGAAGAGCCTTTGAAGAGGTCCTGACACGTTCACCATTTTCTCTCTGCCCGTCCGCAGGAGCAGACGGTGCCTGATGCCCGGGCTGTTCCCGCTTTCCGGACTTGAGCCTCTTGAAACGCAGCACTTTCCCCCCCGACCCCCGCCCCAGCAGCCTCATTAGCCAGCCTTGTAGTTTATGTTTTTTTCTCCCCTTTCTTTAGTTCCACTCGCCTACTGCACTTTTGCAAATTTGTTTTGAGATCACTTTACCAGAGGAACCGGGAGCTCTTAAGGGACACTAATTACAGATTTTTTTTTCTTCCTGAGTGACGGGATCCTCCATCCTTTCTTCCCCTTCCCCCAAAATATTCAAGGAAAAAGGAAGCAAATGTTTCTAGCTCCTCAAAGACTTTTGGGAAAAGGCACGTTATTTAACAACCCCAGCTCCGCTGAATTAAGAGTTAAAGCTGGGAGCTGCAGCTCTGCCCGCCGGGAGAGAGGGACCGAGAGGTTGGCATTGTGCACCGGGATCCACAGTCCGTGCTTGGAGAGAACCCCCTGAAAGGTGATCGGAACTGCAACCGGCGCTTTAAAGATCAAGTTTATTTGTGCACAAAGCATAAATCTGTAAACAGGTCTATTTTAGCCAGCGCAAACGTGGTAAATCAAATCGTGTGTGTGTGTGTGTGTGGACGCCCCAGCCCAGGGAAGAGTTCAAGTTACCGCCGAGCAGAACCCCTGAACTGGATGTTTCTTAGGAAAACAATAGGCAACTGCCCTGCTTCACTTGTGGCCCAACTAAACAGCAACCTGCACCTCGGGGCAGCAGAAGCCGAAAATTCTGAGCTTTCCCCTTTCTGTAACTTTACTCCTTTATCAGCTCTTTGCTTTTCCTACAGTATTCATTTCAAAGGGGGCTCCCCCTGTTTATGACCCCAAATAAACCGAAGCAGTGCAGATGTAGCCTTCCCCAGCCTGTGGATAATTATGGAAAGAAGGGTGGAAAGAAGGGTGTGTGCATGGGTTTGGTTGGGTTTTTTTGTTTGTTTGGTTTTTTGGTTTTTTTTTTAGGAAAAGTTTTAGCGTAAGAGGCGAAATTTGGGGGGTTAGGGCGGGGGGCAAGGAGCAGATGGGGTCTCTCCAGCCGCGGCCGCAGCTGCTGGT